TCCACCCGCCTCGGCCTCCCAAAGTGCTGGGATTACAGGCTTGAGCCACCGCTCCCGGCCCTAAGATGATCTTTTTATGAGTTTAAAGAGCTTTCTTAGTTCTGAGATGAAAGGATTAGATCAGATCATGTCATGGGGAGCTCTGCATATGGGGAGGGAACTCTTGCTGGGTGGTGTCGGCCGGAGGTAATAGGAGATCTCTTCTTACTCTGAGAGCAGCTCCGTTGATTCAGGCTCCTGCTGTGGGCCTGACTTGACAGGAGATGCCACGTCTGACCCTTTCCCTGTGGCCCTTTGGGTCATTTGTTGGGCGTAGGGTTTGTGCACAACAGACTGACTGTCCCTTTGCCTTCCTTCCCGACCCCAGGGCCCTCCTCCTGAAGGTGAGCCCCTGCAGCCTCCTCAGCCCGTGCAGTCCACACAGCCTGCCCAGCCCGCACCACCCTGCACGCCCTCCCAACTCAGCCAGCCCGGCCAGCCACCAAGCAGCAAGATGCCTCAGGTGTCCCAGGAGGCAAAAGGGACCCAGACAGGAGTAGATCAGCCTCGCCTCTCAGCTGGACCTGCAAATAGGCCACCTGAATCTCATGCCCAGGTTCAGAGGGCACAAGTGGAAACAGGCCCGACTTCCTACCCCTCCCCCGTGTCTGTCTCAATGAAGCCTGACCTTCCAGTCCCTCTTCCTGCTCAGACTGCCCCAAAACAGACATTGTTTGTCCCAACAACCTCTGGCCCCAGCACCCCACCAGGACTGGTTGTGCCACACACTGAGTTCCAACCAACCCCCAAACAAGATTCCTCTCCACACCTGACTTCCCAGAGACCTGTGGATATGGTTCAACTTCTGAAGGTAAGCATGAGCAGGGGCCGCCCTTCCTGGCCCCACAGATTTTATGCCATGTTAAATGTCCTAAGATTCCCTAGTTAACAGACCGGCAAGCTACAGCCTCAGGTGTATCCAGTGTGGTTCAGCCCTCCAGCCATGAGCTCACTTCATGTTTGTTTCCCTGTGAGCAGAAGTACCCCATCGTGTGGCAGGGCCTGCTGGCCCTCAAGAATGACACAGCTGCTGTGCAGCTCCACTTCGTCTCTGGCAACAACGTCCTGGCCCATCGGTCCCTGCCGCTCTCTGAAGGAGGGCCCCCACTAAGGATCGCCCAGAGGATGCGGCTGGAGGCATCCCAGCTGGAAGGGGTTGCCCGAAGGATGACGGTAAGACTCTGAGGCCCAGGTGAGCAACTGCCCTACCTGCGACGAGGGAAGACGGAGATGGCCCGTCAGCCCGTCTCTGGCCTGTCCTGGAAGAGTTAACTATGTTCTTGCTGTTGTTGAAACGGTCTCACTCTGTTGCTCAGACTGGAATACAGTAGTATGATCTCTGTTCACTGCAGCCTCCGCCTCCCGGGTTCAAGCCATTCTCCTACCTCAGCCTCCTGAGTAGCTGGGATTACAGGCACTCACCACCAGGCCCAGCTAATTTTTTGTATTTTTAGTAGAGATGGGGTTTCACCATGTTGGCCAGGCTGGTCTCGAACTCCTGACCTCAAGTGATCTGCCCACCTCAGCCACCCAAAGTGCTGAGTTTACAGGAATGAGCCACTATACCTGGCCAGTAACGGTGTTCTTGAAGTGGGCAATGAAGGGTCCATTCTGCTTCTACTTGGTGGGGGGATGTAAAATGCCTCTAGATCCTGAAACAAGGCTTTGCATTTTTAAAAAGTATTTTTTAAATCAACTTTCTCAGGTTGAAAAAAGCTTTTTTTTTTTCCATTCAAATATCAGGGTAGACTTTAAAGTCATCTTGTGGGGCAGGGGGAGGGGGGTTTGTGGACCTGATACTGTGGATTGGACATGGGTTGCTAGTCGACTAGGAGGCCTCTCCTTACTAGCTATTGGCCTCTCCCTCAGGTGGAGACAGATTACTGTCTGCTGCTGGCTCTGCCCTGTGGCCGTGACCAAGAGGATGTTGTGAGCCAGACTGAGTCCCTCAAGGCTGCCTTCATCACTTACCTGCAGGCCAAGCAGGCAGCAGGGATCATCAACGTTCCCAACCCTGGCTCCAATCAGGTCGGTTTTCCTGTGTCCTTCCTTCACATGTACACCCACAGGTGGGGCTGGTCAGGGTAGGTGGGCTGAGTCATCTGGTGCCCACTACATATGGTCCCAGAGCTTCCCAGAGGTGGGCAAAGGGGCATTTTGGACAGAAGCCAGCAGAGCACACAGGGCAGCGTGCCATCGCCCATCCTGGAGAGAAGCTGGGGACCACTGGGAACACAGGTGTCCGTGAGATTAACGACAGGGAGAGGCCCCAGGGGTTCCTGTTCATAGTTTTCTGACACCTGGTAGGTCTTCCAGTGGACATAGTCCTGGAGACATTTGCTGGCTGGGGACTGAGCCTGGTTCTTAGCATTGGGCCTCTTCAGGTCCCCCCAGTGGAAACGGAGTTTGCGGGGTGATGAGAAGACGGAGGGTCCCATGTTGCTCTCTCGTCCTGTTTCCAGCCCGCCTATGTGCTGCAGATCTTCCCGCCCTGTGAGTTCTCCGAGAGTCACCTGTCCCGCCTGGCCCCTGACCTCCTTGCCAGCATCTCCAACATCTCTCCCCACCTCATGATTGTCATTGCCTCCGTGTGAGCTGCTGAACAGTCACCACCTCAGTGAATCAAAACAAAGGGCAACCCAGCCAAGCAGAGGAAGAAGCTGCTGAAGGGGAGACTCCACTGCCAGACGGCCAGCCTCTCGCTGTCCGGCCGCCCGGCTCAGTCGGACAGACTTCCTCTGGGAGTGGTGCTGCTACCTTGTATGTTTACATGATGCTTTACCCCAAGGACACATCACCAACCGATGGACTTGCAGACACCCTGGGGCTGGGTTTCTCTCTCCTCTTTTTGGAGAAAAAGAACAGGGCAGTGGAATAAAAAAATTTTTTTTTTGTTTTTAAGAAACAAGAAAACAGAACTGCCTTTGCACTAAATTAGTGACTTGGACTTTTGCCCAGTGAAGACAGGCTGTGACACTCTGGATGTCTCGTGTGTATAGACACACATCGTGGACTCAACGCAGGAAAGACTTCAGACTTCTGCTGAGACCTTGGGGTCAAGGAACATTTCATTGGGTTTTTCTCCCTTGCTCATTTGGATGCATCACCTTAATTCTCCTGCTACCACCGTCTTTGATTCACCGGGATGTACAGTTTACAGTTGAGCAAACAGAAAGGTTTTCTCTGGTGGGATATGCAGAACTTGGGATGTGTGTATATATAAATATATAATATATATAAATATATATAATACTGACTGAAAAAATCCAATCCCCCGACATACATTTTTTTTAATCTGTGCCAAAAATGTGTTTTCAGAGGAAATCTTATTTTCATATTCAGACTTTGTATTGCCCACTCATTTGTATAAGTGCGCTTCGGTACAGCACGGGTCCTGCTCCCGCGATGTGGAAGTGTCACGCCACCTGTACAGAAAGACTGGCTAACCCCTCTTCCGATTACCTTGACCTCTCCCCCAACTTCCTAACACTTATTAATTTATGAAACTGTTTTTCTCAGCGCAGTTTTGTTTTGTGTGTCCATTGGATTACAAACTTTATTAAAAAATATAAAACACACCGAGTGTGAATGTGATTGCCACTTGGGTGGGAGGATGAACCCTGGGTCCTTGGCTTATGGGAACAATAAACCCTCACCCCGCTTTTGCTCCCCATGTCAAGTCTGTACATGGGACCTGTTTCCCTTCTGCCTCCTGGGCGGTCCTCCCCCCCCCCCAAGTATAGTTTTGTCTTGTACAAAAGAGATTTTTGTCATCGACATGGAACTTAACTATTTCTCACTCTTGTGGTGTCTTCAAGGTCCTAATTGGTCCTTAGGTAACGTGGACGGCACTTCCAATTTTGATACAGAATATAGCCACGCTCCATGTTGTCTCAGAAGTGTCTCGGCAAACTTTGGTTTCTTGTCTCTTGCCCCTCCCTTTCCAGTGTGAAGCAGGCAGTGGCCCTGCTTGGGATCCTTGGGGCTCATTTGATCCTGTATCTGCCTCCAGACAGGAGGATGAAGGTTGTGGACAGGCTTCTCCTGCAGCTGGATCCTCTACAAGCTATGGAGTTGGGGTAGGGACAGGGACACGGACACTAGAGAGTTCGTCTCACTTGCAATGTCAGTGGGCTCCTACAGATGGGCCTGTTCCGGTGCGAGAAGATGGCATCCCCCTCTAAACGGTGGAGCACAGGTGCTGGGGTCAACTGTGGGAAGGGGGTCGAGACAGTACCTCCCGACTCCTTGCTGACAGGAGTGAGAGCTGCTCTGCCAGCCCCCCAGCTCCCCATCAAAGCTCTTGGCTACTCCTTCCTGTTCCTCTGGGCTCCCAGCCTGGTGGCCCAGATGCCATCTTTTGAACCTTCCCAAAAGATGATGGCACTGGCTTGGCCTTCGTCCTCGGGCCACTCTGCTGAAGCAAGTGTGGCATCCGTCTCCTCCCCCAGGCCCATCAGAGCCAGGCGAGGGACCTGGGCCTGGCACTCTCCTTGGCCTATCTTGCCACTCTCGCTGAAAGGACCCCTAAGGCAAACCTGGCAGTAGTGTGGCCTGTGAGCCAGCTTTGCCCTGGTAAGCAGTTGTTGGCTGCCCCTGCTGGTCCCTTCTCCAACTTCCCAACCTCTCCTCAACCTGGGCAGAGGGGGAGCAGGGTGATAGCTGTGCTCGCTGGGGGGCGAGGGGAGGCTGGGCTCTAAAGCTGAACAGGTGAGACGCCTCCAAACAGAAGACGGGATGAGGACGTAGGGCACAGGGTACCGCAATCTCTCCAGCCCGAGTATGCTGCCCACTCCTCAACTTGGGGCAAAGCAGCCAGCCTGGCTCTGGTTCCAGTTGCATTCAACAGGAGGGATGGGCTGACCTTCCCAGGAAGGCTGGTCCTGAGTGTTGCAGCCCTTCCGTGGCATCAGCCCTAACTGCCAACTCCCCACCCACTCCACAGGGACCTATAGGCAGCATTAGAAAATAATCCAATTTATTCTCTCTAGGGAACAGGTCACCCTTCCAGGGTGCCATCCATCCTTAAATAAACAGTCAAGAGAAGGGCCGCCAGCTCACTCGGCAGGCGGTGGACATTCAGGAGCTGTAAGGGAGGTCTCTGCCAGTGCAGGCTGGCCCTCAGCCCCGTCCCGAGGACGGAAGACCAGCTCCCCAGCCTGCAGCACCTGCCCAGCAGGCCATGTGCCACCTGGCCCATACTGCTGGTAGAAGTCCGCGTCTGTCTGGAACATGACCAGTGCCTGTGCTGTATGGATCCGCACGTGCTGAGCCAGACTGTTGGCATCCAGGAACTTGTCCCCACAGGAGTCACAGGCGTAGAGGATGTGAGTGTTGGGGTCTGCGGAGGTGGGGCTGCAGTCAGAGTGGGAAGGACCCCCGGCTCCACCCGTCCTCACACCCGGGTGGCCCCTCTCACCTTCTTCCTGTACTTGCTTCACAGCTTTGCTGATCTCGGCCTTCAGGACTTCCGTCTCATCGGCTGTCACTGCAGCTCCCACTGGCACCACTGCGGGCAGAGTTTCAGGGCCTAAGGCAAAGGCACAGGCACTGCCCCATCATCGACACCCTGGCAGCAAGCTGCCTGTGACTTCCCTCTGCTGCCCACAGCCCGCACCTGTGAGCTGAGTGACGGCTGTTGCCGCCAGTGCCTCCGTGGCCAGCGTGACCATGTCATCCACAGTGACCACGCTGACCTCACTGCCCTCCTCGGGCTCCAGGATCTTGATGCCTGCCTTGCCCTGGTGCACGGTCTTCACGTGGGAGCGCAGGTTGTCTACCCGGTTGAAGCCACGCCCACACTTATCACACAGGTAAGGCTTCTCTCCTGGGGGAGCAAGGTTCTCTCTTTCCTTAGGGGGAAGGGGCCACAGGGGGTGGGGTGGGAGGCCCTCAATGACTCCTTTGCCCAGCAACCCTTTTACAGCAGGAAGTGCTCTGGGAGGGCCACTAGAGCTGCACAGATGCCTCCCGTGACATTGGCTCTTCAGGAAGCTCTAGGAAAATGGGGTCCTCATTTGAATGGAACTGCCTTTAAGGTCACCTGCAGCAAGAGGCAGCACCTGAGGCTGGGGTCTGGGGGTCCCTTCCTTCTCCCTGCTCCCCACAGGCATGGTGGGGGCACGGCTCACCCGTGTGGATGATGATGTGCTTGGACAGGTCCCCCACGTTCACGAAGGCCTTGCTGCACACGCTGCACTTGTGTGGGCGGATGTTGTCGTGGTGGCGAATATGATTGGCCAACTGGCTGGACTGGACGAACCTGTGGGGCCACAGGGAGGAGCTCCCATGGAACCGCCGCAGCCTGGGCCTCCTGCCTCCCCCTCTAGACTGAAAAGGACCCCTGGTGTGGGCAGCGGTCATCCCAGTCCCCAGCCAAGCCCCCAGTTTGTCTTCTGGGCCCCTCACTGTGGGGTGTCTGGGCGATGGATGTGGCGGCGGGGCAGGACCTCTTGCCACAGCGCTCACAGACGTAAGGCTTCTCCCCGGTGTGCTGGCGCACGTGGGCGATGAGGGAGCTGGCCTGGGTGAAGGCCTTGCCACACATCACACACTGGCACGGCTTCTCACCTGGGGGCCAGGAAGAAGGTGTTGGTGTCGGTTCCTCCCCGTGCCCTCCCAGCCCGGGTGTGGCCGTTCACCCACCCGTGTGGATTCGGACGTGCCTCTGCAGGGCGCCGGGGTCCGCGAACTGCCGCTGGCAGTGGATGCACACGTAGGGCTTCTCCCCGCTGTGGATCCGCAGGTGCCGCTTCAGGTTCCCTGTGGCAAGACCAAGGGTGAACCTGCCGTGGGGCACCACTGGTGGCCGAGGAGCAGGGGTGTGAGGTCAGCCAGGGTAGCCCTGGCCCTACCTGAGGTGGTGAACTGCTTTCCACACTCTCGGCACTTGAGGGGCCCGTCCGCGATGTGGATCTTCAGGTGGGCCTTCAGGTTCCCCACCTGTGCCCAGGGAGAGGTCAGGGGGGCCACCCCGCAGAGCTCGGCCGTGGGCCCTCTCACCTGCCCCTCCCCCCAAGGAGCAATCGCTTCTCAGGCTTGCCACGACCGTGAAGGCTCCATCTCTCCTGGGTCAGGAGAGCTCCCAGGTCCCAGGGGTGAGAGGCAAGCCACCCTACCCCATTCTTTCAGGCCCAGACCCCACCCTGACTCGGCCTGCCCTCCGGGTTGCCTCTGCGGAGCAGCCAGGAGCTCTCCTGCGCGAGTGGCTGGGGCTGGCCCTGCTTCCTGGGTGAAGAGACTGATGAGCTCCTTGAGGCCGGGGCTGTGCTACCCGCCACCCTGTGGCATGCGCGGGGCTGCTGGGGGCTCCCAGCTGCTGGCTCGGGGAGGGGTCCGCACACCTGGTTGAACTTCTTGTCGCAGTGTGGGCACTTGTGCTCCTTGTCCGTGTCGTGGGTCTCCAGGTGGCGCATCTTGGAGGTGGGGTCGGAGAAGGAGCGGCCGCAGTAGTCGCACTGGTAAGGCTTCTCGCCGCTGTGCACCAGCTGGTGGCGCTTGAGGTTGCCCGAGGTGGTGAAGAGCTTGCTGCAGTCTTCGCAGCGGTAGCGCGCCTCGCCCGAGTGCCGCTTCTTGTGCAGGTTGAGCAGGCTGATGAGCCGGTAGCTCTTCCCACACTCCTCGCAGCCGTAGGGCTTCAGGGGGCTACGGGGCCAGAAGGCGACAGGGAGGCAGGGCTCGCCGGCGCTCGAGAGGCCCGGCCAGGCAGGGGCCAGGGCAGGAGGCCAGCCTGGGGCAGTACCTGTGTGTCTTCTCGTGGGCCTTGCACGCGGCCGGGTCAGAGAAGGCCTTGCTGCACTCCCGGCACGAGAAGGGCTTCTCCCCCGTGTGGATTCGGATGTGCCGCTTGAAGTTCCCCGTGTGCGTGAACTCCTTCCCACAGTCCTGCGGGTGCAGCGGGGAAGCGGGGCATGAGGGGCAGCGAGAGGGGAGGCTGGAGGGGAGGGGAGGCCGGCGGGGAGGGCTGGCCACGCTCCCCCGCACCTCGCACTTGTGGATGACGGAGCCGTAGGCCTTGGATTCTGTGCGGTCGCCGTAGGTGCCTGGGCGCAGGCCCCGGGCCTCGGTGCCAAGCTCCTGCCCGGAGTCTGTGCCTGCCGACTCCTCGTTCTCGTTCTCCTCGGGGGCCTCTCCGTTCTCCAGCTGGGGGCCCTCCTCCTTGACCTCCTCCTCTTGCTCCTCTTCCCCTTTCCAGGCAGGCTCCACCTCCACTTCTGTGGAGAGAAGGGCGGGGCACGGAGGTGCCTCAGAGGGTGTCAGGGCCTCGCACCTAGGCCTGGGGCACTGGCAACATGTGGGAGGGACAGTAGATGGCCCCAGCACTGGCCAAGGAAAACCCGCTGGGGGTCTGTGACCTCGATATTTGCCGCTTGGGGGATGCAGGGGGGCTGGCTCAGCCAGCTGGGGTGGGCGCTGTCAGCCAGCAGGCTCTGGAGGGTTGCTCTGGGTGGCAAGGCACCCCTGCCTGGTGCTCAAAGCCGAGAAGCAGGAGAAGCTCTGGGGCCTGGAAAGATGTGGCTGTGCTCACAGACACACGGCTAGCATGGTCAGCCAAGGAACGACCTTGAGACTCGGGAACATGCAAAGACCAAGTGTGTCCGAAAGCTGGAGTGCATGGTGGCTCCAAGTGGGACTGGCTGGAGGTGGGAGGAGGGCAGGCCCCAGTGCGCAGTGGAGGCAGGGCCCTGGGAGGATGCACCAGAGAGGGCCTGGTCCTGGCTGGGCGGGGCTACCTTGCTCCGCACTCTCCGACACAGCAGCCTCAGCTTCTGCAGCAGCCATGCCACTCGTGGGGTCTGGCTTGAGCGCCACAGGGGGCGGCTCCCGCGGCACGTCGGCTTTCTCTGTCTGCTCTGCACCTGAGTGGGGGAAGCACCGGAGGCTGGATTGCTACCCTCTGCCCAGGGGTCGGATTCCTCTCCTGGACCACTGCCCTGGTGGTGGCTGTGCGTGGCCCAGGAGGGGAGGCCCCAGCATACCCCTGGCTCAGGCTACTCGTGTCTGCTCTGGCTGGAAGAGACCCCTGGAACACACAACAGGTCATTCTGGGTAACACAAGCTCAAGAGGTGCAGGTGTCCATGCCACCTGTCCCAAGGCAGCCCTCACTATCCTGTGCCCAGGCCGCTGGGAGGTGACAAGGCAGCTGGCTGGGTTCTCAGCATCTGACTCACCGCTGGCCGCACTCTGGGCCTGGCCGCCGCGCTCCTCCTTGAGGTCCCTGCTGGGGCCTGTGGATGCGCTTCGTCCTGCCTGCTCCAGCCTGCTCAGTGTGCTGGTGGCCGCCTTCTCTTTGGCTCTCTTGTCCCCTCCTGGAGATGGAACAGGGCAGACCTGCCGTTTCCCACCATCTGGCGGTGTGAGGTGGCCCAGAACTTGGCTAGGTCTTCCTCGTCCTCCCTAGGATACCTCTAAGTAGTGGTTTGCTATTTTCATTCACCCAATTATTCACAGGGCACCCACTCCATACCAGGCTGCTGGCTGGGCACCAGGAACACAACAGTGATGGTTCATGCTTGTGTGGGACACACAGACTGGTTGAGAAGGCTGACCTCACATGTGCACTAAGGGAGCTGATCAGAGGTCAGCACTTGGAAAGGGAGGAATGTGGCTTCTGGAAGTCGCCAGCAAGGTACCTGGCCCACACGGGGCGTCTGAGGGCTTTATCTCAGCAGCTAAGGGGAGCAGAAGGAGGGGCTAGGAGCAAACTCTGCCCATTTGCAAAGGCACCAAACCAGGCACAGCTCCCGGGTGCTCTGCAGGGGAAAGGCAGGCAGAGAGGCCACCCTCAGACCTGAGGCTAACCCTTGCCAGCACCCCAACCAAGTCAGGGCCAGATGAGGAAACTGAGACCCAGAAAGTCAGAGGCAGAGCCCACATCAAAAGCCAGGGCCTCTGGCCATCTGCTTGGGAGCGGGTGCCAATCACCTACCTTCTGTGGTCAAGGGCTCTGCGTTTCCCCTAGGGCTGGTGGCCGGCTCGGCGAGTGACTTGAGGGCATGGCAGGCCGTGACGATGTCCTGCATCTGGAGGAAGGTGGCCACGGCCAGCACATCATCCACGTTCTCAGGGCTCAGGCTCAGCTTGGCTGTGTACATAAACTCCAGCACTTGCCCCAGGCCTGCTGAGGACAGGACAGCTGTCACAGACCCACCTCAAGACCCAGCACTGGTAGCCTGCCTGCCACTTCACTCAGCAGCAGGAGGCAGGGATTTAGGAGCAGCAGACTGGCAAGCCTGCACTGCCCCATCTCCTGTGTAGGGAGGAGGCAGGTAACCCGGGGATCTCAGCACTGCCAACAGCCCTTGAAAAGAAGTGCTCACTGCGGTTCTGAATGTCTGCCCTGCATGGATAACAGGAGGTGTGAATGCCTGCCCTGCATGGAGGAGGATGAGCTGTGAATGCCATCCACGCATAGAGAAAAGGAGATGTGAATATGAACCCTGCACGGGGGACGGGGGTATAAACGCCCACCCGGCACGGAGGACGGGGGGTATAAACGCCCACCCGGCACGGAGGACGGGGGTATAAACGCCCACCCGGCACGGAGGATGGCGGTATAAACGCCCACCCTGCACGGAGGACAGAGTGAGAATGCCTGCCTTCAACGAGGACAGGTTTGAAGGCCCACCCCGCATTGAGGACAGATGGTTTGAACGTCTACCCTATACACCCTCTACCTGGCTACTGGGCTTCACCATCGAAGTGAAGGACACTCTGACCTGACTTTCATCAGGGCTCTGCTACCAAATCTGTCTGACTGACCTCCAGGTCAGTCATTGACCTCTTTGGGTCTCAGTTTCCACATCCATAAATTGGGAGAATAATACCTTCTCTGGGCATGTCATGCCATTCTGGGTTGGGAGACCGAATCCAGGACCAGCTACTCCTGCAGTCCCAAGGTGTTGCTGCCACTGCTCGCAGCCCCCAGGCCTTCCCCATCACCTCTCCCCACACTTCTAGTTGGCACTGAGGTCGATGCTTCAGGACTGACTCAGCCAGGGAACAGAGCCCGCCTGTTCTCTGCCCCTCCCAATGAGATTTTCCTGTGTTCACTGCGGCCTAGAGCTCATCATGAGCCCTTCCTGCCAGTTCTCCCCTTACTGCTTCACCCCCACTCAAAACAGACCCCCAAAAGGTGGGAGGAACTTAGTACTGACATGCTCATGGCCTGAAGCCTGTGCAGGAGGCCTGGTGCACCCCACAGCCTACAGGCGCTACCCCTGGAGGGCCTGGCATGGCACAGGGCCAGCCACAGCTTCTGGCCCTCAGCAAGCTCAGCTGCAGCCCTGACGGGGTACCTGCCGCGTTACTGATGTCCAGGTGCACCACGTCCTTCTGGTCCACGAAGAGCATCTTGAAGTACTCGCTGCAGGCTGCCAGCACTGCTTTATGGGCCTTAAAGTGAACACCATCCACCACAAAGGTGCAGTCACAGAGAAGCCCCAGCTGCCGCTGCTGGTTCAGCTGTTCCAAGACGTGCTGGCTGTGCTGGGGAAAGTCCATGGCTGCAGAAAGTCAGAGGGCCCTGGGGTTAGCAAGGAGAAAGGGTGCCAGCCACACTCAAGAGTCACCCCTGAACTCCCAGGCAAGCACCATGGAGAAGACAGATTTAAAACGAGTGAGGGCATTTCTGCCCCAAAAGGCCAGATCCTTCCAGACACCCCTGCTGCAAGCCAAACTCAACCACCTGGTGGCTCCCGCATGCCTGGGTCTACTGGCCAGGAAAAGTGCCCCAAACCAAAATGCATCGGGCACCAACACGAGGCAGCCACCTCTGTATCCAGCCTGGTAATGACACTAAAAAGCCAAAAAAGTGAATAAACATAAAACACTGATTACTGCCATGATTTCAAAAATGAAAAGACATGGTCACTAACATTTGTTACAAAAAGAATGCATGACAATGTTAGAATAGGGGACAGATGTTTCCATTGGACAGGCTGGTCTTTAATAAAACTTTTCTATCTTGTTCTTATTTTTTGCATTCTCTCATGGACAGGTAAAGACATGATGCTGTTTCATCACCCAGTGTTACAGAGCTTGGCCCCGCTCAGGCTCTGCAGTTGCCCTCATCCCCTGCCGAAGCCCAGATCTCCCTCTCTTTCTGATTCATGGGCTTGGGGAACTGCCTAGAGTTGCGGAGTCTTCTGACTTCAGAAACCTGTGTCCTGGTGGCCGTCCCAGGAGAAACAACAAACTCTGATCCTGACCCCAAGAGCGGCTGAGCTGGCCACAACTTCTCTGTCAAGGGCCTCACTTCATGCCTGGAAATCCCACAAGTGAAAATGTTCAGAAAAATTCCGTGGCCCGGTGCCCAGCAGTCTTGAACTGCACAAGCCGTGACTAAGTATTTAAAACAGCTCTCACTCCCGCCCCCACACCACCCAGAGTCAGCATCAAGATCAGCAATTGTCTAGGGAAAATAAGCAGGCCCTCTTTTCTAGAAAGAACCCATTTCAGAATGTTTGAGGAGAAAAATCAATACCCACTGTCTGGGATCACATCAGACAGATTCAACTGGGCACAGCTGTCAAGCCTTGGCCCAGCCTCTGCTAAGGGGCGGTGGGTCTCTGCCTACTCCTCCTCTTCTCTGAGGCCCGAGTCTGCACAGGGCTGCCCCTGCTGCTTCTGGGAAGGTGAGAAGGACACCGGGGCTCTCTGCCCTCACTTTCAGCAGCTCTGCCCTAGCTCCAGCGCTCCCCTGTGACATCAGCCTCTTGGGGGTGAATCACTGCTGCAGCTCTGAAGCCGCTGTGACCATGTATGGCTGTCAGGCTGTGAGGAGCCGCAGAGGAAGCCACGCCCCTCCTGCCAGCACAGGTCCGCCAGCCTCGAAGGGCGCGAAGGCCCCCCACCACGTAATGTCTGGGAAACTTTTCACAAATGGAGGTAATGTTATCTGCTGAGCCAGGGGAAGTGATCCAGCAAACAAGCGGGGAGAGTGGCGGTGGCAACAAGCATGAGCACAGCGCTGCAGCCTCCGAGCCACACGTTCGGCGTTGCTGCTGCCACCAGAGACCCAGAAACAGCCGCTCCTTCCCCCCACACTGGCCAGCTTCAGCTCTCAGTGGCATTCCTAAATGGCTGTGGCTAGAGCCCTAAGCGTAAGCACTGGAGAGCCAGGGCCAGCCCGGAAGTCAGGAGGTAAGGCCTTGGGGCAGCTGGCCCCACACCAAAGCCAGGGGGCTGGCAGCTGCACACGGCCACGTGGAGCAAAGCCTAGAGGCCTTTCTCTCCCGTTCTCAGTCCCTGGAAGCAGCAGGGTCCCATTTGTGAACTGAAGGAATGCAAGGGAGAATCGTGGCTGCGCTGCTCCTATGTGCTGGATGTGGGGAGGCACCAGTGTCTGGCCTGTGGGTCAAGACCGGAGGGCAAGGTGCAGAAGGAACCAAGGCAGGGCCCTCAGCTGTCTTCTGGCTGTGGAAAAGGTCTCGTGAACAGACAGCTGTGTGGGTGGCAAGCCCTGGGCTCAATCACTAGTCACCCCCCTACAGCCCCAGCAGCCCTAAGTGCAGAAGAGGGGAACACCAGGGCCTACACAGGGCAAAACGTTTAACTGGAACTTGCAAGTGAGGCTCAACCCTTTTCTCTTGGCTGTATGCAGACTTCTTTACCTTCCCCAGGAGCCAACCTGACACCTGAGCTGGGAAGGAGGGGTCTCCCAGGTGCTAAAACAACCTGGGGAGCAGCAGCTGAACCCCCAGAGGTACAGAGAACCCTCTAGCAGGAAAACCATCTGACCTGCTGGGAAGATACATGAGAAAACTCCTAGCCAAGTGAAGGGACAGGATCAATCCGTCTTGTCTGGGGCCCAAGGCTGGGATGAACCTCCCTGTGGCCATGTGCCCTCGGGCTTCCCACAAGCACAGCCTCACCCAGCCATACAGCTGTCCTGGGCCCGGATGGATGGATGGATGGATGAGCCACGTAGATTAGATAAGGCACATTCCCTAGAGAATAAAATAGTAAAGGCCCTGAGGACAGGGTGGGTGGTAGCCCAGCACCCCTCATGCCACCACCTGCCAAGAGAGCAGCTGTGTGCCCATGAGTAATGTTCTCCACCTCACACCAACCACACTCTTCACATGCAAGATGCCCGCCCAGCAGTGGGCTCCTCCCACACATGGGTGTTAGCAGGAGAAACAGGCGTCTATAACCCTCTGAGGCAGCTCCAACAGAAATGTACCAAGTGGGAAGAAAATAGGAGAGCCGATCATAAGAGGGAGGGAGGAAGAAGTAAAGATGGGCAGAGTAAGGGAAAGAAAGAAGGGAGGAAGGGAGGGAGGGGCCCTGTTCCCACAGAGAGATCAGCAGCAGCTGAAATGCACACTCCAGTACAATCTGGGACTGGCCTCCCAGGGGTGCATGAGCAGCCTGAGGGGTGCAGGAGCGGGGATACCAAGTGCTAAATGGTGTTACCTGCAGAACTGTGTCATTGTGGACTTTATAACTGAAGCCTCACCCTCATGAGGCAAGTGGGGCTCAGGGTCCCCCAGGCAGCCGGGAAGCTCGAACAGCCCCTCTCCCAAGGCCCGTGGTAAGGCTCTGGGTCCTTCCCTCAGAGGGGCTGAGCTGGAACTAGGCACTCCTGTACCTCCAACCCACGCAAACTGCTCTGGAGGGATCACCAGCCCGTGTCCTAGTTCCTCCCTTATCTGCTCCTCAGTGACAGGAACCCAGCAGGATGGCCATGCTTGGATGGACACAGGAGGAGCTGGGAGCGAAGGGGTGGGCAGCTCCCAGGAGCACCCCTGAGTGCGTGCTAGGAGGTGCCGTCTGGGGAGACGTTACCCACGGTCATCAGATCCACAGCCAGCCTGCTCCCCTGCGCCCCCAGGTGAGCAGGCACAGAGGGTGAAGCAATACTGCTCCCACCAGGCAGCCTGTCCCCACCCACCCTTGGAACGCGGTACGCATTGCTCAAGCACGAGTGTCAGGGTCTGTGGTCTTTACTTCATCTTGCGTCATGGGCGATAAATACAGGCACTAGTTCAAGCGACTTCTAAGGAAGACCCAAACACCTTAGACCCACAGAAAATGCCAACAGGCAAGACCACAGAGCCCAGCAGCCCAAAGTCCTCATTTTAGATGCAGACTAACCCTATCTCCCCCTTACAAAGTACTGGCTGCCATTGGGCAACTTTCCTCTGACACCTCCAGTCACTCAGTTTTTCTCCCTGACCTCAGGTGTCAGAGCTGGGATGCTGTCCAGATGACCAAAGGCTTGGCTGGACACACGGCCCTTGCCTCCCTCACAAGGAATTCACTGCAGAACAAAAGAGTGAAGCACCGGGGCCACGTGCAGCATGAGTCCAGACAGGCAGGCCAGTGCGGCGAAACGGACACAGGCAACGCAGGGCCCCTCTCAGGATGGCCGACAACACCTCTCCCGCCAGGGCCCACCACACCTCCCATGGAGAGACGCTGTCTCTCCCTCCCGGTGGAATCTGGAGGACCCAGTGAGGACTCTGACCATCAGGATGCAGGGGCTGTACCCGTTTCAGACCCAAACCTAAAGAAGCCTGGAAGATTCTGCTCTGGCTCCTGGAAACTCAGCTGCCGAGCTGGAGGAAAGCCCGGCCTCCCGAGTGAGTAGGAAACGCATGGAGGGGCTCTGGGGACAGGGCACACTTTCCTGCACCTCCCAGCCCACGTGCACTGCCCGCACGGCCTCACACAATGCCTGGGGAGCAAGTGACTCCCTGTCCACCCACAAAACTGTAAGAAATACTGACCCACTGATGACTTAAACCACTGGGTTTGGGGGTGGTTTGCTGTGCAGCAAGAGATAACTGAGACAGACGGTAAAACTATAAAGCAAAGGAAGTGATTAAGTCAAAGGTTCAGGATGATGGTTCTCTCTAGATGGGGAAGGGCGAGCAGGGGACTTCTGAGATCTTGGAAGAGTTCTCTTTCTTTACTTAGAGTCTCCTGGATTTACTACTTAAACTCAATGTGTATATTTCATATACATTTAAATGAAAACATATTTCAATTAAAAAAATATTATTTTTTTTCGTAGAGGCAAGATTCTACCCTGTTGCCCGGGCTGGTCTCAAACTCCTGGGCTTGAGTGATCTGCCTGCCTCAGCCTCCTAACATGCCGGATTATAGGCATGAGCCACTGCACCCAGCCATTTTTCAAAAATGTTAATAAAAAAAAGTGAGGTTCAGTTGCCAGACTTGATCCAGTCACGGCAGAGAGTGCAGGCCAAAGTTGGGTTGCTTCCAACCGCTATCCCCCACCATGCTCGCCACGGCTGCCCTGAGGCCCAGCATGGCAGCGAGGGTCAGAGGAGCTAAGAGGGCAGCCAAGGATCGCCAAGGCTCCCACAGGTGGGATTCGGAAGAGCTGGCCCCAGAAAACACCACCCACTGCATCTGCCTTGCAGTTCCAAAGCACCACAGACTGCTGAGTACGAGTTTCTGTTTGCGGTGTGAAATCTACTCTGCTGCCAAGCTCTATACTGCTGCCTCCACGACGCAGGGATTCCAGTGGCAGCTG